AAAATTAAATTTAATGAAATACCACTTTTTAAATCCAAACCTTTTTTTTAAAAAAAATTGGTAGGTATATTGATATATAGAAATTTTTTTACGTGGATTTTTTTCTCTTAATTTACCGGAGAGGGGAAACAAGTTTGTCTTTAGAAAAAAGTCAAAAGATTTTAAAGAGTTAATTTCGAAATACTAGTATTTTTAACGAACAATAGAATAGTTATTTAGGATAGAGTTTTAAAAATGGGTACAGACATTGATGCCGATTCTCATCACAAATGGCCAATCAAATTAGTTGTAATTTGTTCTATCAGGTTCTTAGATGATATAAATCTTCATTATAGAAAATCTGGAAAACATTATCGGTCACTCCGAAAATTTGATATGTCGAGGTTTCCATGTCCAATTTCAATTTTTGGGTTCTAATCGATTTAAAAGTTGGCCCACAATTTTATTTTAATATCAGACCTCGATTCAATGCAAGGTCCATATGGCTATTGCGTCTAAATTTAGTTTCCTTAAGTTTTATTTTAAAATATCAAAAGATTTTATCCATGATTTTTTTTTTTTTTTTTTTTTTTGGAATGGGACCCATAGCCACCATTTAAATACTTTTTTTCAAATATTTAAAATTCATAGAAAACAATCCGAATCATTACAGATTTTAGCATATATATTTTACACAATTCTGACACTTTTGGACATGCAGAGATATATCATAATTTTTGTTTATTTATTTATTTATTTTTTTTTTTTTTGAAAGAAATCTTCTTAGGCTTTCCTTCTCTATGAAATTTGAAAAGTAGTTCCTAAGGTATTTGACTTCAAAATCGAACTTTCTTCGTGGTTTTGCGTTCAACGACATTTATTTATTATTTTTTATTTCATCTAACCTATTTCTGAAAAAAAAACGAAATCGCCTCGCAAAGTTTCCCACAAAATTATCAAGGTTGGCGACCATCACAAAATCTAACGAATGGCGCCCAAATGTTCGAGATTTATTTTTAAAGACAAAAATAACTGTTATTTTTTTGACGATTTAAAAATATGTGTAATACTTATCTAACCAATCAAACATTTTTAAAAGAATACTTCTTTTCGGGGCAAGGCAGTCAAGTAATTTTTTATCAGACTTCGACTCCGAAATCATCTTTTTGAACGATTCCGGACTCCACAAACAAAATCCAATTTATTTTTCGTTTTATATCTTTCCCTTTTAGATTAGAATGTTGAATGACTTTATTGTTCGGGCTGAACTCTTTAGTGTTGTAATCCCTTAATTGTTCAATATATCATGAAAATTGGAGGCTACAGTACCAATTCCAGATGGTGGACAACCAGTCAAGATGTTCTACTTGTTAAGATATAAAAATACAAATCCAATTATTTATTGGTGCTAAAATCTACGACACATAAAATAGACTATTATATGTTAACGATGCCAAATAGTTTGTTAATATTTTCGATTATACCCTGGAAACCTGACACACTAAAGGGCAGCTCAACTGGTCTAAAAAAATGCATGTTAATCTCTAGGCATACTTAAAAATCTGTAGTTTCCATTAAATGGAGGCTATATCAAATAGTGGACCTATATTGACATTTTTTCGTGCGAAACCCCCTATCTATTAAGAGTCCGAAACTTACACAGCTTCTTAAAGCATTCAGAATGCTAAAAATCGGGAGGATTGTTTAAATGGAGAATATAAATAAAGGTGGACTAACCGTGGACAGATGGACATCGTTAAGCTGCCTTAAATATTATTCTCACCAACAATACAGGGTTAGATGAAAAAACTGCAACCAACTTCAGACTGCTGTCATTTCTAAGCCACTCGTCCGACAGCTGTTAACATTATTCCAGTGACAGCTCATTATATTGTTTACAACCTTACAAAAGCATTTTGATGAGAATTTTCCAGAAAAAAAATGTTTTGTGATGGAATTCAAGCGTGATAGTGTGATTTCTCTACATTTGGCTGGAAAGCCACAAGTGACCATCGTTAGAACACTCCAGCCTTTAAATGTGAATAAATCTTTTGTGTCTCGTACCATCGCTCGTTACCGTGATACTGGTAGCGTAGCCCGACATCAAGGAAATGGACAGAAGAAAACAGCAACATCAGCAGAAATGGTTCGAAAAAGTAAAAAAGCGACTTGATCGATACCCGCGTCGCAGTGGCCGAAAAATGGCTCGTGAGCTGAACATATCGCAATATAGCATTTGGCAAATATTGAACAATGAACTCGGGGTAAAGCCATTGAAATTCCAAAAAGTGCAAGAACTCACACTGCAACAGAAAGAAAATAGACTCAATAGACCTAAAAAGTGTTGCTTCGCTTGGCCGAAAGTGGTGAACTGCCGAATTTGGTTTTCTCCGATGAGAAAACATTCGTTGCGCAGCAGTTTGCAAACAAACAAAATGATTGTATTTACTTGTCAAAGAGGTCAGCTGAAAATGTGCAACTTCGGTTGGCCACCAGAACTCAAGCGCCGGTCATGGCGATGGTTTGGACCGCCATAACAGCCGATGGTCGCTCTCCGTTCGTATTAATCGATCAGAATAAATTCCGAATATTATCCCGAAAATATTCTGGAGGGTGTATTAAAGCCTTGGGGGCACTCAAACATTTTGGCCGTCTGCGCGTCTGTTGCAATCACGATAGAGTCAAAACGAATTAAAATAGGAAGCTTATATTATTATAAGCTTATGCACAGATCAGAATTTTGTCTGCAGGCAGGTCAAGTTCGAAGATGGGCTACATCGGTCTGTGACATCGTATAGCCCCCATATAACAGCACCTACGATATTCGGTATATGATGATTTTAATGACATTATTCAATGGAATTGCATGAAATACTACACAAGGATATATTTTCGAGTACTTTTCCCCCTGAAAGAGAATTGTCTATATAGGCCCACGATATCTCATATCCCCCATAAAACGGTACCTCCCGATATTCGATATTTTGATGATTGTAGCTTAATTTATCAATGGAATTATCTGAAAATCTACAGTTCATTTCGTACTACTTTACCCCCTGGAAGAGAAATGTCTATATATGTCCACGATATCGTATAGAAAACCATAAACTGTACCCTCGATATTCGCTATTTGGATGATTTTAGCGACATTGTTTCAAATTTCGTATTTAAAGTTCGTAATGGGCACTACAGTCTATGACAAAAAATTGTATACGCAGGACCACGTCTCCGTAAAGCCCTCATATAACATGGTATGCGGAGAGCGATATTTTTCGATGGAATTTTTTCAAATTCCTTCAAGATGGGTATTAAAAGTTCAGCCTGGCCGAACTTAGCCGCTATTTTTCATGTTTATACCTCTTGTATTTCCCTGTTAAGTTATCTAAAATTGTGAATTTTACAAATATGTTCATTGAGCGAATGGCGCCCAAATGCAGCTGCATTTTTTTATAAAGCACGAATTGCCATTACTATAACACCAATTTTAATATTTAAAGATTCTAAAAATAATATAAATATCCTTCTAATATATGTTATGTATGCTATAGGGAATACGATGTCTGTCTGACTTTTCAAGTAACCATCGATCAAAGATAGATTTTCAAAATGTCAAGCATCAAAGATACATGTTCAACACTTTGCACAGATATTAATATTATGCCCAGGATATTTGATTATTGTATATATCAAGCTAACTTTAGATCTATCACGCCACCATGACCTGTGATTTGACATTTTAGGTTTTTTGGCTGTAGAATATCTTTTTGAAAAACCTTCTCAATATATATCCCCTCTTTGATTTTGCTTTCATATAATGCAAACAGCTGATTGAAGTATTTAGATAGGCTTGAACGCATTAATGAAACAAATATATTGGAATTTTGTGTTTCAGATTCTTAGCGAACCTTTCAATGCAGATTTTTTTCAGAGTAGGTCCTAATACTCTGTATTTCTATGATCCAGCCCCAATTTTAAACATAGATGACAGTAATTTGGCATTTCATTGAAAAAAATCTACCCGCAAAAATGTTTAACCCGCAAAATGTTTCACAATTTGACACAAACTGTAGATAATAGAGGTATGGAGCAGTTTTAGGTTTTTTATGGTTCTGGCCATATATTTCATCCATATTGCCTATAAATTAATATATTGACATCTCATCCTGAAAAAAATGATATCCTTCCATTTTGAAGACTCTAGTCAATATTTTCCACAGAATGGGCTGTATTCTGGGTTCGTACCAAGTAGAAATCTATGTGGAAAAAAATATAATGTTCAAATGTACTGCTTCATCGACCCTGTAACCCTATCCCAAAGTTTGGGTGATTTTGATTGCAACCTATTTTTTCTTAATTTAATTTTACACTTGGCGAACGGTACAAAAATTTCGGTACGCCCATTTTTTACTTGGTCTAAATCCAATTATATCTAAACACTTAATAAATCCCAAAATTTGACCGGAAACTTTTTACTGCTAACGATTATGATTTATATGAAAATGATCTTTAATTTTCAATACTTCCATTAGAGTTAAATAATATTAACCACCCAAAGAGTATTGAAAATCATACAAAGGTACGGAATTCTCATCTCTTATTTGCAAAACCACTGTTAAGTTAGGCACACCGATACGTATGAACAATGTATAGAAGCAGAACGCAAAGCAAAATAGCAGCTAACACAGCGGCAACGACAACAACGACATGGCTACGAAGTGAAAATCAGCGTACAATACACACACACACAGACACAACAAGGTCACTGGAAAAATCGTTAAAGCAAAGACGAAAGAAAAATTCCTAAAGTATACACACACGCAGGGTAGGAAAAAAATTCAAGATGTGTCTTTTTCGGGTATTTTTCAACTCGAATTCTGAATATTCGAAGCTTTTTTTCGTAGAAAATTTAAGGTCTAAAAAAAATTAACAAAGAGAAAACCTACTTCTAAAAATGTAGGTTTTGAAATCCACCAAAAAAAAAAACTAAATTGGGGGAAAGCCATTCAAAAAGACCCACTTACCTACATATTCAGCTTCTGCTACCAAAAAATGAGCTGCGACCATGAACAAACGAACAATTCCTAATTGTATTTTTGCAAAAGTGGTGGCTCCACTTGGTTTGCTTTTCGTTTTTTTTTTTTTTCTTTTTTCTTTCTTTCACTGTTTCTTGATGTATATTTTTTCGCTTTTTGTTATTGCTTATTGGGGGTTTTTATATAAAAATACAGAATTTCTTAATTTCACAATACTTTTACTTTCGTTTTTTTTTTTTCTTTAAATCAAAATTTCAATATTTTCCTTCTTTTTTATGGCTACACACAAATCAATCTTTTTGCACCAGCTTAGCTCTTAAATAATTTACTTTAATGTTACAATTGTTATAAAAAAATCTGCTGCTTTTTCTGCTGGTAGGTATGTATCCACCGTTGTTGGTGTAGATTCCTCTATTACTTTAACTTATTCCGCTCAAAACGTCCAATCACCTCAAAGTCTAAATAATAACTGTTAAAGTTACAACTTTTACTGTTCTAAGCATGTCTCCCTGCCAAACTTTTAAGCTCGAAAAGCATTTGCAAAAGCTCACTTCCACAAAGCTTTGGCTTTGTAATTCCTGGATTCGGGAAAATCCAACAACACTTGTTGGATGTGTTGTGGGGCCTAGTGCGCATGTTTTGTTTATGCTTGCTCTGTCTTCCAAACCGGTTTGTTTACAAACATTATATCCTTGGTGTGAGGATAACATGTGCTTTCCCATCTACGGCGCAGGTCTGGGAAAGTTGTAACAACACATGTTTACTCGTGAAACTCGGAGGAATTCGTTTCGATGGAATTGTTTATTTCTTCTTTGTTGACTTTTTTCTAAAATCCTATAGCTTGGGAATGTACGGATTCAACAGCATTCGACTGACAACAGTTGTCAGAAACCACCTGTTCGTGTAGTTTCGAGAAAGCTCCAAGCTTATTAGATGAAGCGTAACGAAAAATCTAGAAATTTAAACGGTTTGGCCTGATTCAAAATTTAACCATATGGATTTATGGGCAATTGTATCCTTGATAATTAGAAAGATTTAACAAGTAAAAAAGCTGTAAGTTCGGCCGGGCTGAAGTTTGAATACCCTCCACCATTTGGAATGAATTTGGCAATTCTCAAAAAAAATAAAATCCGTCAAAAATTCTGTTAAAATCTTAAAAATACCGAATGTAGCTGTTATATTGGAGTCTATACGACGACATGGACCTGCATAGGTAACTCTTGTCATAAGCCATTACAATATTCAAATGCGAAACTTAATAATGAATAATGTAGCTAAAATAATCAAAATACCGAATATCGGGAGGTATCATTATATGGGAGCTATACGAAGACTTGGACCTGCACAGACAATTTTCTGTGTTAGGCTGTAGTATTCATTTCAAACTTCAAATACCAAATTTGAAAGAATTCCGGTTAATAATGTCGCTAAAATCCACAAAGTACCGAATATCGGGAGGTACCATTATATGGGGGCTATACGAAGACGTGGACCTGCACAGACAATTTTCGGTCTTAGGCTGTAGTATCCAGTTCAAACTTCAAATACGAAATTCGAAACAATTCCGGTGAATAAATAAATTCATCAAAATACCGAATATCGGGAGGCACTGTTATATGGGGGATAAACCAAAACGAGGAGCTACTTGGCCCATTTTCATTTTCAAAAGTCCTGCAGACATAGTATACTTTTGAGTAAAATTTTATCAATCTACTTCATTTCGTTCGGAAGCTAGAGTGATTTCCACAGACGGATAGACGGACGGCTGATCAAGAATATATGTACTTTGTGGGGGCTAAAATGTATATTTCGAGGTGTCACAAACGGAATAACAAAATTAATATATCCTCCACACTATGGGTATAAAAAAAGTAAGTCCGACAATTTGAAAACCTACAATACTACAATTTGCGGTAAAGTTTCTGCAGATCTGATCCCCCCTCCAAAAAAAAAAAAAAAACATTTCCATCTCTACCACACAATAAAAGCTTTTCGAAACATCATCATAGATCAAATCTTTTCCCAAAATATACGATCTCGAAACGGCATTGATACAATTTCGGAAAAAAAACAGAAATTTCAAATCCTTTTTTTCACCCATATTAAACATTTGATCTCGGGGTAAAGCCATTGAAATTCCAAAAAGTGCAAGAACTTACACAGCAACAGCAAGAAAATAGACTCAAAAGAGCTAAAGAGTTGTTTCGCTTGGCCGAAAGTGGTGAACTGCCGAATTTGGTTTTCTTCGATGAGAAAACATTCGTTGTCCAGCAGTTTGTAAACAAACAAAATGATCGTGTTTACTTGGCAAAGAGGTCAGCTGAAAATGTGCACCTTCGGTTGGTCACCAGAACTCAAGTGCCGGCCATGGTGATGGTGTGAGCCGCCATAACAGCCGATCGTCGCTCTTCGCTCGTATTAATCGAAGTGGCATCAGAATAAATGCCAAAAATTATCGCCCAAATATTCTGGAGGGTGTATTAAAGCCTTGGGCACGCAAACATTTTGGGCGCGAACCTTTGACATTCCAACAGGACTCAGCACCATCGCACTCAGCACGGGCCACCCAAGAATGGTTACAAAATGAGGTTCCTCGCTTCATTACCAGCGCGCAATGGCCACCAAAATCTCCGGATACCAATCCATTGGACTATTGTGTCTGGAGTATTTTGGAAAGCAAGGTTGGTACTAAAAAATACCAAAGTGTCGATCACCTCAAGCAAGCGCTTCGACGGGAATGGACCAAAATACCGCAGAGTAACATTCGGTCAGCGAGTGACGGTTTAATTTTGAAGACCATAATTCGTGCCAAAGGTGACCATTTCGAACAAATCTAATCAAATCTAATAAATTTGATGCTATTTCCGACATTTTTTGCTTTCATTCAATAAATTTTAAAAATGAAATTTAAAAACTATGGCGTTTGTCTTTGTTGAAGATTTTTTATCTCACCCTGTATATACCTATAATGCACGAGAAATCTTAAACCGAAATTTCCAAAAGTGTGGAAAAGGGGGAACTTGCGATGTAAAAAAAATGCTAATACACGTGTCTTCTATTTAAAGCTCTAATTTCATACTCTGCTGGAATATCCCCTAGTTATTCAGAAAATTAAATTTTGTCAGACAATGTAATAGTACGATTAACCATATTTAGACCAAATTGCATACTCACTTTGAAATTTATCGTGCGCACCATCTAGCCAGATAGACGGACGGAAAACGCTGGAGCGACTCAAAATGTCCTGCGTGTCTAAAGTCGTTATTTCATAATGTACCAAATTCAGTTCTATTTAGTACTTTTCGTACAATTGTAGCACACATTTCAAAAAGCACCTCCGTTTTTAAATTCCAGATACCAATAGATACCTTAATTTCAAATTTGAGGATTCCAGCCCTATTCCTTCACCCAATACCGAATATAGTACCATTTAGCACTTTTCGAACAATTGTAGTACACTTTTCCGAAAGCACCTCCAGGCTACACAAATTTCAAATTTCAAGCACTATATGTTCCTCTAATACCAAATTGTACCAAATATGGTACTATTTAGTACTTTTCGTGGACTTTTAGCACACATTTACCAAACCAACTGTTTATCACAAACCTACCCCAACAGGGACCCCAATAAAAAATTTCAGCTTCATCCGTTCACACTAACCAAATTGGTCCAAATTAAGTAAAATTTAGTACACTTCGCACATTTAATATACATTTCCAAAATCACCTTTATAGTTTATTCTCATACCAAATTTCAAGATTTTACCTCTATCCGTTCAAATAATACCAAATGGTACAATTTTAGATGTTTAGCACAATTTTAGAAATTTAGTACAATTTAGTGGTTTTGGTAACCTTAATGTTCGAATTTCCAAAAAATATTTGGTACGTCTATCTTATTCTCCATCAGTGTCTCATTCCGAATTTTAGAATTCTAGCTCATTCCGTTTGTCCAATAAATATTTTTAATTTTTAGTACATTTTAGTACCGTACTCTTTTAGTATGTTTTTCCAAAAACCCAGCTTTAACACATGCCTACGCAGGAAGTCTGACCCTCGAGCAAAATTTCAAGAATATAGCTTTAGCCTTTTCGTCTGGAGTTGCGTATATCTTGGATCATATAGGAATAACAGGTCATTTTTTAAACTTTAAAAACAAACAATTCCGCATTCGTTCTGTAAAATAAATGCAATTTTATTTCTACATTAATATTGTTTATTTTTGTTATCACTTATACCAATATAGAGATTTGAAAACAACTGGAAAAGGAAGAGGCGGGATCAATAATAATTAAAACCATTTAGTTGTCTGTAACCAATCTTAAAATTAAACGAAATATTTTCACTATAAATGCACTTTAAACAGTTACAGAAAACCGGTTCTACTACAACAGGATACACATAAAACTAAACATTTTATGTTTCTAGTTTTGAGAATTTCTTATTTTCTCAAAACTCAAATAAATGCAAAACAACAGCCTTTTCTGGAAGATATTTAGGTCGAATTTTGTCGTCTCAACAAATTAGTTTAGCAAAAATAAGGCGGGATTTTCCAAGTATTTCTTCCAAACATTTGAGAAACTGGCCATGGTCACGCCATCGATGACACGGTGATCGGCCGACCAACTGACGCTCATAATGTAGGCCTTGACAACTTCATCCTTTTCGTTGAAACGAGGGACGGCCTGAAATGAAAACGACATTTAAAAATAGTCTAATGAAAAGTGTTTAAAAGTCTATTAACAAACCTTAGTACGACCCATGGCACCAATGGCAACCTGGGGCGCCATTATACAGGGATGAGTATAGGTGCCACCCACCACACCAATATTCGACAAAGAGAATGTACCATCGGCAAAATCTGCAGGTGTCAGAGAGCCCTTGCGTCCTCGCTCCACCAGATCATTCAATTCCTTGGCAATTTCGATGATGTTCTTATTTTGGACATTCTTCACATTGGGCACCACCAATCCTTGAGGTGTATCAATGGCCACACTAATGTTATGAGCACCCTTGTAAATAATGGATTCATTTGGTTCATCCAACGAACTGTTAACAATGGGGTATTTGCTCAAAGCAATCGAGGCAGCCTTAATGCAGAAGGGCATGAATGTTAGTTTATCAACTCCATTTTCCTTGGCAACTTCCTTCAATTGATTACGGAACTCCATGAGACGGGTCATATCGATTTCGTCACTATAGGCAAAATGGGGAATTTTCTAAAGAAATAAAAACATATATCAATTTTCAATTTTAATAATTTAAAAGAGCAGAACCTACCAATGACTCCGTCATAGACTTAAGCATGGCCTTGCGCACACCCTTCAATGGTTCCACACGATCAGCTGGCACTGGCGCTGCTGCTTTGCCAGCACATTCTGGTGTTGCTTGTAGATTCTTTGCAGCAATGGTGGGATGTGGTACATTTGTACCGGCCGGTACCATGCCCAAATATTC